CCCCTCCGGCCGCCCCCTCCCCGCAGCTGCTGCTGGAAGCTCACCTGCACCAGGTGCGCTCGCAGGGGCTGGACCCCCAGGCCCCGCCGCCGCTGCCCCCCGACTCCATGGAGGTGCTGCCCCCTCCCCAGGAGATCCAGGACTTCTTGGAGCCCCCCCTGGGCTTGGAACCGCACCTGGGGCAGAGCGCGGGGGTGCAGGGGCCGCCCGGGCACCTGCTGGACCCCGAGGGGGGGGTCCCGGCCGTGCCCCCCGAGGCCAAGGACCAGTTTTCGGAAGGGGGGAGCCCCGCGGGGGGCAAGGGCCGCTTCGTGCCCCTCACGTCCATCTGCTTCCCGGACGCTCTGCTGCAGGACGAGGACCGCGGCTTCTTCCCCGGCATGGAGGACATGTTCGGACCCCCGCCCGAGGATTTCCCCAAGCCCGCCGAGGAGGAGGAGGAGGAAGGCAGCGCCAACACCGCCGGGCTGGAGGGGCGGCCCGAGGGCATGAAAGCTCCCCCTCCGTACGACATGGGGCAGAGCTACCCCGCGTTCTGCCCGCAGGACGGGGCCGCTGCCGGGGACCCCCCCCAGCTGGGGCTGGAGCCCCCCAAACACGAGTTGCCCTCCACGGTGAACGCCGAGCCGCTGGGCTTGATCCAGAGCACGGGCGACGGGGGTCCCAAGCCCCCTCCTCCGCCCCTCAGCACGCCGTTGTTCTGCTCCTCCAAACCCAAAAAGCTGCTGAAAACTTCCTCCTTCCACCTGCTGCGCAAGCGGGACCCCTTCCCGCCCCCCAAAAAGACCTACGCGCAGGAGTACGAGTTCGAGGATGACGAGGACAAGGCCGACGTGCCCGCCGACATCCGCCTGAACTCGCGGCGGCTCCCGGACCTGCTGCCCGACCTCATCTCCAGCTGCCGCCGCCCGCCGCTCACGCCCATGGGCGACATCGACTTCTGTCCCCACCCCGGCGCCCACCCCGCGCCCAAGAAGCGCGGCCGCAAACCCACCAAGCCCAAGCGGGAGGGGCCGCCCCGGCCCCGGGGCAGGCCGAGGATCCGGCCCCTGGAGCCGCCCGGCTTCCCCGAGGGAGCCAAGAGGCCGCGGGGCCGCGGCCGGGGCCGGGGCAAGAGGGCCGGGGAGGACGGAGAGGGCGCGGAGCCGCTGCGGCCGCTCAAGGTGAGCAGCCGGGGAGCTCGAGTGGGCACGGAATGACCCGAAATTGGGGGTTGGGGGGCTCGGAATGGGCACAGAATGACCCAAAATTGGGGTTTGGGGTGCTCGGAATGGGCACAAAATGACCCAAAATTGGGGTTTGGGGTGCTCGGAATGGGCACAAAATGACCCAAAATTGGGGTTTGGGGTGCTCGGAATGGGCACAAAATGACCCAAAATTGGGGTTTGGGGTGCTCAGAATGGGCCTGAGGTGACACAAAATTGGGGTTTGGGGTTTTGGGTGCTCCAAATGGTCCTAAAATTGGGCTTTGGGGTGCTCCGAATGGGCACAAAATGACACAAAATTGGGGTTTGGGTGCTCCGAGTGGGCACGGAATGACCTGAAATTGGGGTTTGGGGGGTTTGGTGTGTTCGGAATGGGCACAAAATGACCCAAAACTGGGGTTTGGGGAGCTCGGAATGGGCACAGAATGACCCAAAATTGGGGTTTGGGAGTTTAGTGTACTCCGAATGGGCACGGAATGACCCAAAATTGGGGTTTGGGGGGCTCAGAATGGGCCTGAGCGACCCAAAATTGGGGTTTGGGTGCTCCAAATGGTCCCAAAGTTGGGGTTTGGGGTGCTCGGACTGGGCACAGAATGACCCCAAATTGGGGTTTGGGGGGTTTGGTGTGCTCCAGATGGTCCCAAAATGACCCAACATTGAGGTTTGGGGTGCTCAGAATGGGCCTGAGGTGACACAAAATTGGGGTTTGGGGGGTTTGGTGTGTTCCAAATGGTTCCAAAATTGGGGTTTGGGGTGCTCTGAACGGGCACAGAATGACCCAAAATTTGGGTTTGGGGTGCTTGGAATGGGCACAGAATGACCCAAAATTGGGGTTTGGGGGGTTTGGTGTGCTCCAAATTGGCACAAAATGACCCAGAACTGGGGTTTGGGGTGCTCGGAATGGGCACAGAATGACCCAAAATAGGGGTTTGGGGTGCTCAGAATGGGCACAAAATGACCCAAAATTGGGGTTTGGGGTGCTCAGAATGGGCCTGAGGTGACACAAAATTGGGGTTTGGGGTGCTCGGAGTGGGCACAAAATTACCCAGAATTGGGGGTTGGGGGGTTTGGGGTGCTCCAAATGGCCCCAAAATTGGGGTTTGGGGTGCTCGGAGTGGGCCAGGGTGACCCAGAATTGGGGTTTGGGGTGCTGGGAATGGGCCTGAGTGACCCAAAATTGGGGTCTCTCTCCCCAGATCAAGCTGGCCGTGTCTGTTAGGGCTCAGGGATGGATCAAGGTGTCCCAGTACAACCCAGTATAACCAGTCCCCTCTCTCTCCCCAGATCAAGCTGGCCGTGTCTGTTAGGGCTCAGGGATGGGTCAATATCTCCCAGTATAACCCAGTACGACCCAGTATAACCCAGTATAACCAGTTCCCTCTCTCCCCAGATCAAGCTGGCCGTGTCTGTGGGGGAGGTCAATGTCTCCCAGTACAACCCAGTATAACCCAGTTTCCCCGTGTCTCTCCCCAGATCAAGCTGGCCGTGTCTGTGGGTGGTCAGCAATGGATCAGGGTATCCCAGTATAACCCAGTACACCCCAGTATAACCAGTTCCTCCCCTCTCTCCCCAGATCAAGCTGGCTGTGTCTGTTAGGGCTCAGGGATGGGTCAATGTCTCCCAGTACAACCCAGTACAACCCAGTATAACCAGTTCCCCCTCTCTCTCCCCAGGATTTGGGGAATTTGGGATGGATTTGGGGTGGGTTTAGAATGGATTTGGGGTGGGTTTAGGGTCGGTTTTTGGGGTGCTGACCCCCAATCCCCCCCCCCCCCCCCCCCCGGCACTGCAGACGGGCCGGGAACCACCGCTTTTGGGGGATTTTGGGGTTTTTGGGGTTCCTGTGACCCTGGATGAGTTGGGATGGCTCTGGATGGCTCTGGGTGATTTGGGGTGGGTTTGGGGTGGGTTTTTGGGGTGCTGACCCCCCAGATGTCCCCAGCTGGCGCTGCAGACGGGCCGGGAGCACCCCCGAGCCGCAAGGTGAGACCTGTACCAAGCTGCCAGGACCTGCCACGGGTGCACAGGGGGTCATAGAGAGCGTGCAGGGGCTTTTAGGGAGCTGCCAGGACCTGCAGAGCAGCATCAGCTCGGCCATCTCGGCGCTGGACGAGCCCCCCGAGCGCAGGGAGCCCCCCGAGCTGCAAGGTGAGACCCGTACTGACCTGCCAGGACCTGTAGGGAACCGCCCGGGGGTCATAGAGAGTGTCCAGGGTTCATAGATAGCTGCCAGGACCTGCAGAAGAGCATCAGCTCCACCCTGGACGAGCCCCCCGAGCGCAGGGAGCCCCCCGAGCCGCAAGGTGAGACCTTTACTGACCTGCCAGGACCTGGGGGAGCTGCCAGGGGTTCACAGGGATCTTCCAGAACCTGTCAGGAGTTCATAGAGACCTTCCAGGGGTTCATGGAGATCTTCCAGGGCCCATAGAGAGCCTCCAGGAGTTCATAGGAACCTTCCAGAAGCATTCAGAGGTTCATAGGGACCTTCCAGGACCCACAGAGATCCTCCCAGGGTTTTTATGGAGCTGCCAGGACCTGCCAGGGGTGCACAGGGGGTCATAGAGAGCACCCAGGGGTTCCTAGGGACCTGCCAGGACCTGCCAGGGGTTCATGGAGACCT